TATATGTTATTCAATCTGCTTATGCCATGCTCCCACCTCTTCCCATTGTAAAGTCTAACAATCTAATTTATTTATCATTAAAATGTCAACCCTTCTATAGATGAATATACAGAAAAGTAATCATTGCTAAATTATCAATGTGAAGTAATCAGTGGTTATCCCAATTAGAATTCTATCTGTCCAAAAAATTGCATTAACAAAGATGGTCAACTCTGACAAAGAAGATTAGAAAATATTACTTCATAGTCAGTCGGACAAGAAGTGCTTTTGTCACTTTTCAAGAGCCATTTTCTTGGGGCTCTTGTACTCCCTCACACACTCAGCTCTAACAGAATACTGCCTCAGTAATGCATCCAAACAGATTTTTGCAGAGCATTTTATTGTAGAATACTTCAGGTAATTTAGTTGACAGAGTGAGTTGTCTCTTGACTCTAATGAAGGAGGTTGTAGGTGTGATCTTTGGGACAGGTGACACTCTTGTGTTATTGAGAGTTCTCTGTCACAACTGATTTGCGAAATAATTTGTTAAAAGACATTTTCTGTCAGTCTTTCTTATATTTAAATAGAAATATTCACTTGTTCTTTGTTCCGAGATAGCTAGAGTGTCTTTGTGTATATGATTGCCAATAAATTCAACCATTTTGTAATTAACAACGGGTCTTAGTCAATATTTGCAATTGATTGAACGGGCCTTGTGTAAATTTCAACAAAACAAGTTCTGTCTCTGTTGTCATTGTTGTCTCAAAGTGCTTTTCTTTATTTCAATATTTTGCTAAAAGTTGATATTCTTAGTTGGAGCTTTCTGACAGCCTTGTTGCTGGGATACAATGTTGGACCATATTCACCCCTGATACCCTGTTCCTCCAGCAATATGACGTTTAACAGAAAAATGAAAGACAGAGATTGTAAATTTTGACTGCGCAACATTTATTTCAACATTGAAAGGCTCATACATTATTAACTGTTGCACTCTAACACTGCTATATTTATGCAATGTAAACAAAAAGCTATGACTGTATCTAAAATTTCATTAAGGATTGATCTGTGAAAATGCTCTGTACTTTGCTGGTGAGTAGAAGTCATGCTGCTCGAGCACTTAGGAGCTGGTGGGCAGTAAAACAGTGGGATGTTTGAGAGGAAACAGCAGCAGCAGATGTAGCCTGCAATAATTACTTCTAATCTAATGGACTCTAAAGCACATATTTGTAGATGAGAACATGCATAAGTGAACAACCTGTATACAGAACGTGTCTGGTGTACTACAAGGTCAACTTCACAGCTACCTAACTCAGATACGTCTCTCTTTTTGGCAGCACTAGGCCTGTCACTATAAATACAATAGAGTTATCATTTAATTTATGTTAGATGGAAAAAAAAAATTTTTGGGTGTCAGTATTTATTGTGGGGACTTTTCTTTGTACTAGTGGGAAACATTTTGTTATTTTCCTGTTCCACTATTAGATGTAGCGGGTTGAATAAATAACTTCTATGACTCATAGATACAGACTAACTACCTGAGATTACTACGTGTCTCATTTTGTTATTTGTTTATTGCAGTTTGTGTTTTTAACAGTATTGCACATTTAGAATTGCCTTTTGGGAACTATTCTACTTAAGGGCTATTGTGTCACTGGCATAAATTAGTTTCAGTATTATGGTTTAGCGTCTATATATAGGCCTAGTCACTGGGATAGTTTGCAGATCAAATACTAGAATTATCAAACATTTTTACGTTAGATGTCCTTTATGTTGCAACTCCTCTCCTTTACAGAGGCATATAGATGATAAAATTATGACTTGATTGATGTCTATGATTTGGGTATTAGCTCAAATCAGACTAATGCCATGTATTTACTGAGAACAATTGATTTAGCATAGGCTCTACAACATGCTGTTCCAGGTGCAACCCATCCAATCTATTCAGACATGAGACTGGTGTAAACATGCTGTCATATTATTGAAAAAAAAAACTGTGTTGCTAATTTAAAACAAATGTAATCATATATAATTCTTGCCTTTAATGGGCTTAGTCATTATAAAATCTTCACAGTACCCTTATTACTATATACCTGTAAATAAGTACAAAGTAAGTAACAAAAATAACAAGAGAGTGATGTCAATACTTGTATATGTACAAGTAAAAATAAAATATAGTAATACTAATATATCTCTCAGCTATATACAAGAGGTCGTAAGGAGAAAACAGGGCGAAGATGAAATAGTGATTGACGTGACAGAAGACTATCTATTACATCTTGTACATTGTTACACATCAAAGTTAGTACTGTAAAGTAAAGTTTGACTGCATGTTCTACTGAAGTTAGAAGTAATTTAAGGGCAAATGCACAGTGATAGTAAACACACTTGCATAATTCATGTCCTGTTTTGGAATAATAGGATATGAAATATTCATTAGAGAAATCACTTAACCATGGATCTGTTTTTAAGTTCAGAGGAGAAAGGGCAGCGACGAGGGCCAAGGCTAAAACAAACACTCACCTGTTTGTGCAAATGCGGCAGTGATCCTTTGTGAACCCCTTCATTATCACATGCTTTGTTATGTGTTTTCAATCTACATCCAGCCCTCAGTGCCAAACTAGTGCTATAAGAAAACTCTGTCTGCCTTGTAAGTGCTCTTTCAATGGCCCAAAGGTAACCAACCTCAATTATATCTGAAAGAGAGCATTGCACTGGAATGTAATGAGATTTGAAGCTAAAAGGTGCTTTCAAGACTTTTAAAGGTTTTGTTCCTGTGCAGTGACAGGTTTTGACTTCAGTTTCCGACTGTTTCACGAAGAAGCCCTTGAATGTGCTCCCATTAAGACGTGCAGAGTTTCAGAGCTACATTAGCACCGATGATCAAAAGATACTGGCCAAGGCTGACTTCATACATCAAACAAAATGGGTAACATGGGTAATTCCAGGGAGAAGGAGGCGTGTATATTTTGGCTATACTGTGTGACATTATTAGGGTGATATTTACTGTACTATATTTTTTTACTTTCACAGGCTACAAACATACAAACAGATGATTAAAAAGACATAGCTATGAGTTAGGTTTCATCTTTTGTCTTTGTTGCAGGCAAAAGTGTCAGATTCGACCCAGTTAATCAAAGAGTACGCATACGGCATGTCAGAGGAGAGGAGAGGGGGCGTTGCTTTGTGAATTTTCTCCTTCTTTTACAGCTGGGAGTGATGATACTTGGGCTCCTGAAAGATTGAGCCGGGCCTGGTGCAGGAGAGGGAGGAAGTGTGCTTTATGTGGCAATCAGTGCATGTACAGTAGAGTAGAGTGTTATAATAATAGTGATCTGTACTGTAGATTGATATTCTTGAACCCCAATTCAGAATTAAATTATTGGATGTTAAAACAGTAATTAGTGGTTTGCAAAATACAAATATATTTCATGCCAAAAAACATCTAATGTGTTTGAATTATATCACTTCACAACATAGAGGCATAGACAACATAATTTGGAAATAAGGTGAAAAAATATCATTTAATAAAATAGACAGCCTAAAAGTTTGTGCCATTTAAATCACATAACACAACTATATTGTGTGTACACTAATGAACAGTGGAAGCTATTCAATTCAAAGAGATCTATTGTCAAATTTGAATTTAAAGGTGCACTGTGTAACTTTTTGGTTGTTCGTCCATCACCTGCTTGTTTCTATGGAGATGTCATTGCTCTGCCTTGAATGTTCATGAGCTGTACCTCACATTTATTAATTTACAGGTGGTTTTATTGCTCAAAAATATTTTGAACATATATTCTGAGGCTACGTTTATATGATAACGGTCTGAACAGAAGACACAAAAGTGGTGTCGCGTCTTCACTTTTTTTCCTCGTTTAGATGAGCATTGAGGTGAGGTGGTGACATTAGATGGTGTATGGTGGTGTATGTGACGTAAACGCATATGTAACGTGAGCAGATGTGACCAGAATTTTACGTCATGGTCAGTATAGACAGAAACTCTAAGGTAGAGCGTATTCAGCTTTTTCACTCTGGAGGGTGGCTTCAGATTTTTGTGTTTTTAAGCCCCAAAAACACCGTTACCGTGTAAATGAAAGGCACTTCTTATCAAATATTTTGTCGTTTTTACCCGCAAGTGTTCTTGTGTAAACAGGCCCTTACTGTGACAAGAGCTTGCGTCTCCACAGATCAAACCTGTAATTTTATCTGGTTTGTTCTCCATGAAAATAGAAAGCTTTAATACTATACTGTGAAACATTTCAGACAAAGCAAACATCTTCAGGAGACAAGCAACCAGACCTCCACCAGAAAACTTACACAACGCACCATCATTAGTGTCATTAGCTTTTGATAATGTACTGAGAATTACACTATCCTCCGTATCCTGCTTAGTTGTAGAAACAAAGTAATCCTTTTTGGCATTACACATAAAAACTTTGTCGACTACGGTTTGATATTAGCCATTTGGCCTTGGCGTCTCCTAATTGAGTTGATTCTGCAGGCTGTGTGTGTGTCTTTGAAAGCTAATTCCACTCAGTGTCATGATGCTGTGCCAGTTTATAGGATATCTACAAGGACATTAGCTTTATCCTCTTCCCTCATGAGAATATAAGACCTCTTGATGTAAATCTTTGCAACTTGTTCACATTGTATTACATCTCGTCATAAGTTGCCAGTTTCTTAAGACTGTTTTTAGACTGTGACCTCCTTTTCAATGGGCAGTGTAGCCGCTACTATTGGACACTTGTTTCTGTGCGCTCTGATTGATGTTGCAGAGAAAGCATGCAGCTGGAGAAGATGCACTAAACCTGAGCAGGGAACAAAGAGTAGTGGGCCACACGGGGCGCAGCAATTAAGCTGTTTTCTAGTTGTTAATTAAAAGCAAATTAGAGACTGTGACAGGAGTTGCTGTCTCTAGCCTTAATTGCTGGCAGCGTGTGTGTGCCCAGGCAGCCACACCTGTTGTTGCTGCTGTATCTTCACGCTCTCATCTAAACTCACTGTATTTTTGTCTACCGCAGGGACGCAGAGGAAAGACAAGGGAGCCCGGGCCCAAAGGCATGCCTGTAAGTGATTTAAGCCACCATTGACTATAAAATGTAACTACTACTGGGAAATCTGCATCTGTGTGTCATCTCATTACAAGAGATAATTGGTGTTTGGTGACTCTACTAATCCGATCAAAAGCACTAACAGGTGTAGTTTTACTGACAGGCATCCCTTTTCGCCAAATGAATTTAAACTTTTAAAGGGAACCTCAAATATAAATGAGGGTAAAATTTTTACTTTACTATAACTTTTACTACAACTACTTATCTTTACTATTGAACTTTAAATTAAAAATGTAACCTAGTGTGGCAGTTAGATAAAGGTATATTCCTCCAAATTGTTAACTAAAATACACATATACATCAAAGTATATTCTGGCAAGCAATAATAAAAATTTGGTAATACTTTATTTTAGGGTACACTTATCAACTACCTGCTAATTAGCATAGTTGTACATGGTTAATTTGTCATTATTTTGTATTTATTTAACCCTTATTGATATCTAATTCCCCAAAAACTTATTCTGCTATTAGTTAGACATTTACACTTTTTTATATTCTAATAAGCTGGTGTTGTTAAAGACTAATATCAGAAGAAATGTGTTTTTTAGTTATTTGCCCCAAAAGCTTATTAGACTCATAATTCATGAACAAACATGGCCTACTATCATAATAATAAGCAGTAATAAGAAGTATAATAACATTAAAGTGTTTGTAAATGTCTAACTAATAGCAGAATAAGCTTATGGGGAATTAGATATTAATAAGGGTTAAATACTAATTAATTACAAATTAACCATTTACAACTATGCTAATAAGCGGATAGTTAGATGTTAATAAGTGTACCCTAAAATAAAGTGTTACCAAAATGTATTCCATTAATTACATGCACAACACATAATAATTAAATGTACACTATGTAACCTTTCCGGTGGAGGGTCAGCCACCTGCTGGAGCTGATATTGCTTTGCCAGTGTCCCTCTGTATGGCTCGCCTGTCCACAGATCTGACCTGTAACATTACCACTTGTTAATGCTGTATTGTAGAACATTCCAGACAATGGAGACAAGCATTATTATTCAGTTACTACTCCAGTTAAAACACAATTAAAGTAAAGCCATTTTTCTTCAAATAGTTCACAAAAATACATTAGTAAAATATATTCTGCAGTTATAATAATTTCTGACTAATTCTACCGCTAAATCATATGTAAAACAGGTATCGACCCATTCAAAATGCCCTCCTTTATTTCCCACAGCCCCACTGCTATTGTCAGCGCTCCAAACCACAGGGGCTGTATTAAGGTAGCTCTGTATTGATGAGTGGGACAAGTCTGCCTATAAGCCCTGTTGGTTTCTTGAGTTATGGTCTTTCTCCTCGGGGTCCGACGCGTTCCCAGACACGGTGGGACGGGTGTGTGAAGTGACCCATCCGCTAAAGGGCACAAGCACCTCCATGCGTTAAGGCAGAGACAGCTTGTCAGCCTCTTAACCGAGTCAGTGTCAGGAGAAAACAGAAGCATTTAAGGATCAAATAGTCTGGCTGTCCAATTATTTTCATGCACCATTGACTTGATTACACTTTTGATCACGACATAAGGATTCTCTGTTTCCATTGAATAAGGCTTGTGACAGTTAGCGACTGTTGTAACTGCCATTTCTGCTGTCAGGTGTAGTGACCGTATACAATCCACTCCACTTTATATATATAGCACATTATATGAACATGATATTTTCCTACTTTTCCACTTTTGGGTTGCACAACATATTCCATTCTCAATTTGAGTAAAAGGATGAAATTATTGTGTTTTTTTTTTTTTTTTTTCCTTTTTTCTTTTTATAGAAATATCTTTTTCTTGGACAACATCTGCAAACATCTTCTGAAGTGCAACAGATTCTTGTATTATTTTATCAGTTTAGTGCTAATGCTTCTGCTGTTGTTAATGTTCTTAATGTGCACAACAAAAACACTACTACTTTTTAAATGTGTGTCGCAAATCTCATCGCAATTTTGCTTTTTGTTTTTCAAAACATACAACGCTAGAACATGTCTATATTGACTATAACATAATGAGTGTCCCTGTGATACTCTTAATTTATGCCTGCTTTTCATCCATCCTCTTGTATTGGCATTTATAAGTCTTGTGTTTTGCTGAGGTGAGGCTCTTCAGCATCATCTATTCAAGACACACACAACAGGGCACGGCTCTGTCTATTGGCAGCAGAACAGAGATCCAAGTTGAAGGAGAGGTAGAGTGTTTTCAAGTAAGAATTGGCCATGGGTCAAGATGTTTTGGGTGTGACAAGCAAGCAATTAAGCAATTATATTAGAATTATGAGCAAAGTTAAAAGTCAAATGTCAAACACAGTTGTATTTCCAGGCCAAAAGTTAATGGTTAAAAAAGAATAGTTAACCAAACATAATTCTTAAAGGTGCACTGTAACTTTTCTAGTAGATGGTCTGGAACCAGTTTGTCTCCATGGTGTTGTTTATTTGCTTGGAATGCTCCACAGTATGGCATTAATCTGCTAAAGGTGTCCAGCCCCCAGACCAAGTAAGAATACATGAGCTATATTTGGAGGAGAAACAGTGAGTGTTTGATTTGATTGCGTTCATTTCTTTTAAATAAATCCAGACCATTCATTGATTATAATTGCAGTGTCCCGTGGTAGGTTGTGAAGGAGCCGGCGTCTAGGTACAACTAAAAACATTGTTCATCTCCAAAGCAAAACCCAGTGACACGCAGCATATAAAGCACATTCAGGCTGTCTCCGGGGTTTGATAAACTGGCCCAGAGCCGGCTCCAGCAAGGGTGACCTGTCAGCGTGATTGAGCAGTGTTCATTCACAAAGTCCTCCAAATCGGAACCAACTTTAATCATCTACAGTGCTGTCTGTGGAGAGATAATTCAAGTTTTACCTCCCCAAGTGCGTCAAAAGATCAGAGGTGAAGGAGGGCATCTCAAAATTCTCTGTGCTTGTAGAAAAATACTTCCAATTGTTAAAAGATTCAGTTATTCGTTATTTGTGTTTAAAAAGTAAATACTGCTCCATTTCCTCCAATATTGATTATATATATAGTGTAGTGTACTCAAAATGTTATTTTTTGGTCATTTAAGGAGTATAGAAAAATATTTTGTTATGATTTTTACATTTAAAAGTAACTCAAAGAAAATATATCAGTAGGAAAGTTTATAGAAAGTCCAACAACTACTACTACTATTACTACTATTGAAACTATTGAAAAACTATTGTCACTAAGGATTCTAAGTATACGGTCATTGGTTAAATGTGAAATGCACTAGAGGAAAAAAACTCAAACATTTGGTGCATTATAACGTTGCTACAAAAAACATATTGACTTACATTGCAGTACAATGCTTTTCATAAATTCTTCAAGTTCATTTTCACCTCTACTGATGACTGTGTGTTTAGTTCCTATTAGACTGACACTGCAGAATCATTCATGTCCCTTACTGGTGACAGGACATTTCACTCAGTAACTTGTATCCTACCTAAGTGATGTATTTTATCCCAGCCAGAGCCTCCTGCCGTGCACACAGCATGACTCAGAGCTCACACTCCAGACAGACAGATGGTCATTACGCACAGCGCTTTGTAAAAATAAAAAATAAAACAGGCTCTGCAATCATTTTCATGAAACCCAGGGGTGCTGTAGCTCACCGGAGGCACTCAGAACGCACTATGTAAAAATCCTCCAGCATGGACCTATGCTAGCCTCCCACTGTTTATCTGCGTACTTGTATTCTTTTAGCACTGCAAACCACCACCCACCAGGCCTCCAGTGGCCCACTTGTGAACACACTGGGAGTGAAAGCTATTGTGTAGTGGACAACCTATTGACCGCAGCTGTTGGTTTGATGTATAGGTGTATGGCTGTGCTGTGGTGTCAGCTAAGGATGCAGAGGTCCTCCTGCTCCCCCCTTGCCCCGAGGAGGAAGGAGACATGTCAGCAATGGCCACCTTGAAAAAGCAAAGTTATCTTTATGAGGACATGGAATATACTTTCAAACAAATGGGACTTCAGGATACAGTGTGATATAATGAAAATGTGACTACTGGTAGTGGTGAAGAATAGTGCGCTGAATGTCCTTGTAAAACCAACATGAGCCACATAGAGAAATGTGTTTCAGTCAGGTTTAGTGTGTTTCAGTCAGGTCCAGAGTTTGATGAAGGACTAAAAAGAAGTATACTTTCAGAAAAAAGTTTAATGAATTAACTAAATTAGAACTGTATTATTTTGTAAAGTGCTTTTGAAGGAGTTCTAATAATATACAACTGTGTGCCATTAATTACTTCACAATTCAGACTGAAGTTGTTCATTAAACACTTCCACTTCCACTAGTACTGCTGAAATATGTCTGTTGATGTCACTATGGCGTCACTCTGTGAAAGACTGTTTGAGCTGCTGCTCAAGTGTTTTGGTCTTTGATTATTTTAGTCCTGTAATTTGTGACTTTTCGAATGGACTCATTCTTAAGGTCGCCTAAGGCCACACTCAGGTACAATTTACTTTCTCTTTCGTATTTTCCTGCGCTTTCCCAAATCATTTCAGCTAATAACAAAGGCTACAAGCCACCATTAAATCCCCCAAGAATTCACAGTTCATTATATTACTCTTTAAAACGCATACTTTCTGCAGTGATTTAACTAACTCAGTGTTGCAAACAGGGCTGCCAAATTACCTGTAGAAAGAACACGATGAAAAGTACAGCTATTTAAAAGTTACATTGTGGAAATAATGCACTGATTTTCTACACCATTGTCAACCTTAGAAAATACGTAGCTTTCAAAGTACCATCCATTATATGAGGGACAAACTATATAATAAAAGATAATGCCATTAATCAAGTCACATTACTAAATTGGAGCATAGCCAGGGTAAAACAAGGCCTTAACCAATCTGATTTCAAAGCTATACAGAGAAAAACAATTACAGAGAAAAGCAGACATTCACAGAGCTAAACTTAAATCATGCTTACTCTAAATCAGTCACGC